CCCCAAAACCCCAAAACCCCAAAACCCCAAGTATCATAAATATAATCAAGAAATTATAAATAAGGTCAAATAAATTTACTCAAATAAATTTCCCTTTTTTTCAATATCATATTATTTCTTTGCTTGAATTCATTATATTATTACTTCTTAATCTCAGACTATTAGTGCTGCTCGCCACACCCTTGCTTCTAGATCTTTTAATACTAGAAAACCCATTGTCTTTATTAAGCTTTCTCTATTCGCTAAGCTCTCTATTCTACTGCTTTAAATTAAGATCTCTTTACTTTAGTTTTTATTCATAATCATCTAATTTTTATTTCTCAATAGCAAGTATCCTTCTTTACTCATCACATTTTTTCTTCCACATCTCCTCACTTAGTTCAAGTCCCAGCATCTTTAGATCTAAGTTCTCCTTTATATCCATATGATTTTTTATCATCACATCCATTGACTAAATTTCCAATTCAAGCTATGTGCATTTTTTATTTAACTAGGCCTCTTCTGATTTTAAGGATTTAAGCAAATCCTTTTGCCCCTCTATGATCTTTGCCTTCTTAGCTAACTCATCAAATTCTCTTCTTTTCAAACGTCTTAATTTTTCAGTCAGTTCCAAGTCCTCTCTTTCAAGATTTTCTTTTTGGGCGTCTAATGCTCCTTTCTCTCCATCATATTTATTCTTTTCTACTAAATTCCTTTTAGCCCAGTCAATAATATTAATCTCTTTCTTTTGAATGGTCTCTCTTCTTCTAGCAATTTAAAGCCTCATTTATTAGATATCTTCCTCTTCCTTAATCGTCTCTCTTCTCCATATCTCTATTTCTTGAACCTTTTCTCGCTACCACTGCTTCTCTCTTTACATCTTCTTATTCTTTAACTCTAAATCTTCAGTAAGTTTAGTCATAGCTTCTTCTTATTCCTTCATCCTATGTTCAGCATTTTAATTTCTACCTAAAAAATCCTTTTATTTTTTAGTTTCTTTTGCTATTTATTCTTTAATCTTATCAATTTCTTTTTGCCTATCGTCTTTCTCATTTTTCGCCTCAATAATGAACAAGTCAAACTCATCTCTTTCGTTGTTATAATCTATCATGATTTGGTTAAGCTCTTTTTATCTCTCTGAATATTCATGAAGTTTAATTCTAAGTTACTTTTCAAGGTCCTTTACTCTACTCTATTTCTCTGTCAGCTTTAATTCTTTTTGCTAAAGAATATCGCTTTTTTGCTGAAACTCATCTAGAATCTTTTACCTCATTTGATCTTTTTCTTTTATCTGATCTTTCTTTGATTTCCATTGTTCATCCTTCTCCTATAGCATTGTTTATTTTTACTTTAACAGATCTTCACGTTTCTTAAGCTCATTTGCTTTGATCCTTAACTTTTTTGTCATTTCTACTAGCTGCTCCTCTCTTTCAGACTATTGATTTTTCCTTTACTCTAATAACTAGAGACTTTACTCTATTTAATCATATGAATCCAGATTAGGATTAACATTTTAAAGCTAGTTCTCAAGATTCTATAGGGACTAATTGAAAATCTAATCTTGCTGCTCATATATAAATTGATTATTGCTTTCCCTTTTCCCATTTTTATTGATAAAATCGAAAGATTGAAAGTTTTATCCGAATTAATTATTCTTTGTGTTTTGATTTCTGTTTGATGACTGCGTATCTATTGTAGTAAATCTTTCCTAGGACTACAATAACCTATTAGCAGACTAGTTTTTCTACATATTCCTGTTACTAAATGACCTCTCCATTTTAAATTCAAACTTATCAATTTATCAACCTCTTTATTCACCTTTAATTTTAAGTCTCGGGGTTTTGGGGTTTTGGGGTTTTGGGG